AACTAGCCTTTACCAGCTGAACTAGTTTAATTATGAATGTCAAAGCACATGCTGAAACTAGAGAACTACTTTTTCAATTGTAACTGAATTCAAAATGAATCATATCTGTTGTATTTCCGGTATACATTTCACATGCATCTGTGTCTACGCCAATAAATTAATTTCTGGCAAATTAGGAAAAAGAACCAAATGTTCCTTAATTGTAAATGATGTTATTGATAAGGAATAAAAACTTTCCATTAGCATAAACATTATCTGCCACCATGTAGCTTAATGTTCCAATTTACAACAGTCTGAAGGCCAATCTCCCGATGTAATAAGAGAAATCTGACCCAGTGATTTACATGCCTAATAAGAGATGAATGGAAAGCAGTTTTATAAGCCAAGGCCTGTACAACAGACACAAAATGGACAATAAACCAATCCAATCTTGATATGTGAAGGTGGATAATTGTAACCAGTGCAGTATGATTCTGCTTCACAATTATGAACTTCATTAGTGCACAGCACGGCACACTAAGTACTGATCTTATTTCAGTTTGATTGAATTACCTCCCCTCATTTGCTAACTTGCTTATGGTTTTTCTTACAATCAGACAAGTTCTCTTAAGTTATGCATTTTACATCGGTGCCTCTGCACTGAGAAATGTAATGATGTTTTATACCAAACAAGCCTTTTATATATTGACTTCTGCACTGTCTCTAGGTTCACACTGAAAGGCTTCAATGGACTGGGCTCTTCACAACAGTTCATAAAGCACTACATTTAGAAAATTAACACATTGGACATCAGGCCAAGAGACCTTTCTAGTCATTTATGTAATGTCTTGCATAGTTTACTCTCAGGACAAGTCATCCTGAAAGTATTTTATGTAAGACATTAAATTAACAAACTGGATGAGCACAGTACATGCAGTGGCATAGTGATGAAGCAGTTAGGACTGCAGTCTCACAGCCTTTTGTATCCTGGGTTAAATCCAGGCTGCAGCACTGTTTGTGTGGGGTATGCATAGTCTTCCCCACATCTGCATTTGTTTTCTCTGAGTGGTTCAATTTCTTCTAACCTCCCAGTGGTATGTTGGCCATGTATGGGTTTGTATGTGTGTGTGCCCTGTGGATAACCAGGCTTCCCAATCATGGTGTAATCACCCTTTACACCCTGTGCTTCCACAATAGTCTCTAGCTTGTATCAATCCTTACCAGTGAATTGCAGGAAAATAAACAGGTGCATGGATGCGCTCTTCAGCCCAACCGTCACTATTCTGAACCTCCGTCATGTTAACATCTAACTCTTATTGACCTATAGGTAAAGAATGATTGGAAGAGTGCAGATTGAGAACATGAGAAAAGAAGAGAGAGGAGATCATTCAGACAACTCGCCCATTTGATTGTTAGACCTGGCTAAAGGTCTGATCAAGCCTTTTCTTGAAGGAAGGCAGGGCATGTCTGGGTTGCTTGTTCCAAACGCCCACAACCTTTTGTGGAGTGTCTTTCTTTTGCGTGACAGGGTAAATAACACATGGCTTTACTTTAACAGGCTTTGATTTTTCATTTTAGAAATAACCTCTATAGTAGGTATCGTTTCCAGTACTATGGCCTGTGTAATTAGATTAAAAAATGTTGATACATATGGGTGTGCATGGTTGTGTGTTCTTTTACATATTGCAACTATAGTGTGAAAGATGCCTAAACTAACCTGTAATTAATACAAAAATGGGTTTAGTTCTGTCATTCAATAATATTAGCTTATGGATTGAAATTGCATCATCGTCTTCTGGACCTATTCTCTATTGATTTTATAATTGAAATTAGTACAACATAAACCAAACTGAACCTTTTTTCTCTTAAATGCCAAGCAGGTATTGCTTTAAATAGGTGTATAAAACCTGTAGAGTTGCAGCTTTTGCAGCATAAGAGCTCCTTCACAATTTCTGGTGTTTACACCCAGCCTGCAATTCTAAGAGGGCTCAGCTGAGCCTGTGATGGTGACGTTATCCCCTAGACACACAGTTACAATTTCTCCCAGGGTGCAGGAGATGGTATCTAGTGTAGTGGAGCGTGCCGCTGTCCAGAAAGTAGTGCTTTGTAAGCTCGGAGCTCGTGAGCGACTGTGGTCGAATCCCAGCAGGGGCAGAGCAGAGCTGCACCCATCACACAATCATCATCATATCTCTTCTTGACATTTGAAGTGCTTATTAAAGGGAAACGAATATCATATCGCTTGTCCCTGCGTGACCGTAACTTTACAGTCATCTCAAGGGCACAATCCTCTGTGCAGTCTAGAGAAGGATGGATATTTTGCTGTGACTAAGACAAACACTTTTATCAATTGGAAACAAAGTTCTTCATCACCTTAACAAAGACAAAACAACCTTTGGACTTCTCTTTGCAACTGAGCGACTTTCTGCCTCAACATTCCGAGTGAGAAAACTGCTAGGAAAGCAACATCCTGCGCCACATTTTAACAGCTTTAAATAGTGATACTAATGGAGTTAGGACCAAAGAACTTCGTAGACTGATGTTTTATCCATTTTTTGACAAATTTATGACGGAATGCATGTGCCTAACTAGAGTACAATTTTCAGTATTGATTCAAATGGTCACCCATTCACTAGTGCATATCTTCAGCATTAAGGCGCAAGACAGATACAAAGATCTGTGCTGAGGTTTCAGCCCACAGGTCAGTGAAGTGGATTGTCGGAGATAAAGAAAGACTTGTGAATACGCCTGACTTGTTGTGTATTTTCATTCCCACGTCAATTAACCAGCTTGATTTGGACGATTGTAAATTTCAGCTTTATTTATTCCTTATCATCATACACACATATCTCTAATTAGTCAATGGGTTCAAATTGTGTTAAATGTATTGTGTGTCGTGTTATGTCTTTTACTTGTCTTCAGAGCAAATTTTCCATTTGGGACAATAAAAGAAATAAGTAAGACATATCGCATTTGTCTCTTGTCTATTGTTTATAAACAGAGAATAGTACATTATTATTTTTTATTTAGTATTGATGTAAATTTACTCTAAAACAAGGAGCAAATTGCATCCATGTTAGTATCTTATAGGTTTAATCAGAATAGGCCCAAAACACTATATTAAAAAAAAGCTGGTGCTTCTTCCCTATTGTGTCTAGAGTGTGAATGATAATTGCTTGTGCAAAGTCTATGTGCTTCAAGTCAGAAACTGTGCCTGAAGCAAGGTCACCGACTCCTTTTGCCTAAGAATGTATGTTACTGTTATTACATTCTAGGCTTACAAGGAAATGGGCCAATTCTACTAGGACGGAATGTAAGTGAGATGCACCAGCCTGGGCTGAGCAGTCGCCTGTGCTGTTGTGTAAGCTTTGAAATGGAAATTTGAACTTGGGGGTGTCCAGGTGATTCAGAATTTTGTCTACATTCCTGTCTGACACACCACCAAGCACTGGCTCGGTTTGTAAGACACAAGGTTCCTGGAAACCGGATCACTTTTAGACATTCAATAGCCCCCAGCTGTGTGTGATACATAAAACAAAATGACATTTATGGACACACTATAGATGATATGAAAAAAAGTGCTTGTGGTATTATGATGAGCTTACAAGCCCTCTGGACTAGAAAAGTGGCTTCTATTCTTATAGCCTGTTGTCTCCTAAGAGCTACTCAGCACAACTAGATGAAATTGAACAGCAAAGGAGTAATGACGTCATCTAAAAGGTTGGAGATGCAGCTTCAGCACAATTAATTTTGAGCACAATATCCCCAGTTGTGGGCGGCACAGTTCGCACAGCTGCCTCGCAGCGCTGGGTCCCTGGGGTTAATTCCTGAGGTGCTATCTGTGTGGCGTGGTGAGTGTGCGTGCGTGTGCCCTGTGTTGGACTGGTGTCCTGACAGACTGTACCCTGAGTACATCCGTTTCGCATAGAGATCAGCTCCAGCTCCCCCTTGACCGTGAAGTGGAGTAAGCGGTAAGAAAATAAAGGGATTAATCCCTTGTTCCAGTTCTTGTATGATAATGATACATGGAGTCCCCTTCTCACCTAAGAGCTGACTGTATCGTTAACATGATGTCAGTTTCGGCATTCTTGTTGTCTTGCTAATTAAACTGGAATTTGCACCTGGTGCTCCTGTCCAACTTAACTGATTGTTTCAATTTCTTCCAGACTATATTACCATTTGCCACTGTATATTTTTCTTGTTAAAATAAGTCCTACTGCAGGTCTATTTATTTAGCATTTTTATGTAACATCCTGGCTTTAACAGAATGAGAGATTCACTATTACCAAGAGAGTCAACCTGAGTTTATGGTGAAATATACCATGAAGGCTACAACAAAGCCCAAGCAGGGTACTGCACACCTAGTGTAAATATTTACTACACCATTTGTTGTTTTAAAGGAGGTCCTAGAGGTGAAGTCCTTGTAATGTCAACAATTTCACATCAGAGAAACACCTGTGTACAGGTAAAGCAATCGTTAATCTAATGCATTCTTCATCAGAAGGTGCTCCAGGTCAGAACAATCGGGAAAGCCAAGCTTTTTGTTTTATTTAATAACACTCTATGGAGCCTATGGAGGCTTGTGATAGAAACGCCAGAGCTGGTTTTACAACATATTCCATGAAAACACCAGGCTTACAGCACAGTTTTCAAATACTAAGACAAATCAGAGAAAGGATGGAGCAAATACTACATGAGGATTTCTGGATTTTTTTTTAATCTCACCTGCCCTCCCATTCTGGTAAAGAAAATCCTAAACATTACTGTTGCTTTCTAACACATCTGCTTTAATCCCTCTAATGAGCCTCAGAACGTAATCTGACAGCACAGTGGAAGTTTGCTATAAACTACACTTTTACAGGTTGCTCACTTACCTGCTAAGCTTTAGAAAGAAAGTGCTGCCCGGTTATCTTGGCTCACATTTCAATTGACACGTAGGACACACTTTAATGAGCAGAACCTTGAAAAGCAATGATTCGTAAGGCTGAAGCTACCCTGCAAGTACTCCGAAGTCTACTCACCCTGTCTTCGTCACGAAGATGTACTGTAAGGAACAGAAAGAGGTGGGAGGGTTAGAAAACGTGGGCGGCAATCCAGTCCAAAGTGGATTTTCACCAGTTCCCAATCATTTGTTGTAAACCTTTTCAGCGCAGGTGATGGCTGGATCCCTGAGGTGGAGAAAACAGCCTAGAGGGGAGAGTATCTTGAAGCTCCCAGTTCGATATCCACAAGAAAAGATTTTGCCCACAATCTGTGAGCATGCAACATTGCACGGGCAAATGCAGAGAGCTCTGAGGCAGGCAGTGACTACGCGAGTCTGCGAGTGTGTGTACACTTCTGGATGGGAGGTTCTTAGCCCTGCAGTAAGACTATGAAAGCAGGTAATCAGAAACCTGACTGCTCCCCCTGAGCCACTCCTTCTTGGGCTCTTCCACTAGGCTTGTTTATTTAGAAGGCCATCTCTCTTCAACACCTGTGGCAACTGACTGTGACATTTAAATGAAATGGTTTTGTCTCTCCACACTCTTTTTTTATTCCACATTTTCCTTACTTGTCATGTGCTGTGCTCCCACCTGGCTGGGCCAAAAAAAAACAGTCACTCACTAAACAAGAATTACAAAGTTCTGTCTCATACTCACTGAGCAACCCCAGCCACTCATTTTAACATTGAAGGTCCTGTACCAGGATTTCTTTGGTAGACTCATGCAAATTATTTTTTGTACCCTCTAGGAATAACAATGTGGGGCAGAGCAGTGGATAACATGCTCACATACTAACAAGCATACCATCAGGATTTGACCAATATAAAGACATTTTATTCTCGATGATTGTTTGAGTAACAGGGATCATTTTCATCTCAGAACCCAACCAGTTCTCTGCCATCTTGAGGTGTTTGAGACATTTATATCATCCACCTAGATTATTTGGGATTTTGTTCTACATTTTCAACATTTCAGTGAAGGACTGAAGGACCTTTGTTTCATGTTGCCAAATATACAGGTGTGTATTGCACAACAAAAAGTTTGAAGACGCTGCCATCTTCAGTTTTGTATGAACCAGTAAATATTGACTTATTGCAAAACCTTCCATCATTTACTGCATCTTTAGTTTTCTGAAAAGCAGAGGCAGGGATCAGATGGGCTCAGGTCAAAAGAAGCAAACATTAAGATAAGATCACAAAACAAAGAATTGTTATGGGAAAGGGACAAGTAACTTTCTGAATTACCGTGTAAAATTGTCCATAAATACATTACAAAAAGCTGGAAGTTCATTCCTTGCCTAGGGCTGATGAATATCGAATATAAGCAAAAGCTCTGTTGAATTAGTCAGAACAACTGTTCCTCTTCCAAATCCTGCTCCTTCGAAACCTCAATTTCATAAACATCCAAATCCAGTACATTTTACAGCCTTTCATTTCAGTTTACAGTAAAAGTTTGGTTTAAGGACTAATGGAGATGGAAACAGGTGAGGATTTGTTATTGCCAAATGTCTGCTGAAATACAAATGACGATTTTTCAGCTCAAAAACAAGCTATTATGTGAGATACTGTATATATATGATTTCTGGATTTTTTAACAATTGCAATCAATATAGTCAATGGAAATTGTGCCTGTACTTTGTATCATAAATGTGTTGTAAATATGCTGTATTGAATTTGCTAAAGCATACGAAGTGCAAACACTCATCATAAGCAAGGGCACCCTTGATATTCCTTTATTTTTAAGTTATGGAGTATTGATATTTACCTTGTTTAATTATTTGTGTATTTTAAAGAGATTTTTTACATATTTCTAGTATATTTAGTGTATTTTGTAAAATGATTGTTTTTATTTTAATGGGCTAAAGCATTCAAAACACATAAAACCAATTCTCCTACCCCTATACCAATGCCCTATATATTTTCCATTATTACAGAGAAAGTCCAGTATTTATAAAATCCAAAGTCCAGTGAACCAAGGGTTTACTGTATTCAAATAATGGGCAATAATTTATCAAGCCTTGTGGTAGGAAATTACACCATTCTAAAATTCACATCCTTCTCACTTGTAAGTCTGAATTTCAGTTGAGCATTCTACAAAAGTATTTCTTCTTTTTTAAAATGTCACAAAATTATTCTTAAAAACATGTCTATCTACAAGGTGTAATAAGACATACACGTATCTCAATGATACCTACCATTTACATTTTTGGTCAGAACCAGACTGAAACTCTTAACATCTACCAAACAGTGAAATAGAGTCAACTGTATTTAAATCTTCAGTCTCAGATAATAGCTTCTAATATTGTGAATGCAAATGTTCTGGAATACACTTTTGTGAGTGGTATCCATGAGTGCTTGTATAGTACATTTTTATCCATCCATTTTCCAATTGTCATGGACGTCCAAAGGGACTAACCGTGGGGAGTAGGAGAGCGGAAAAAGACCCATATGCGTAGCGGCGAGACGGGAAAAAGGACCGGGTTCATTAGTGCAAAGAGTTCAGGAATGTCGTATAGAAACCTATACCCTCAGGGAGCGGACGTGGGGCGCCCTGGTGCTAGGTGGGTCTCAGGACATCCGAACGTCAATGCTGAGCGAGGACAGAGTGAGAAACCCGGAAATATATAGCCCAAGGGAAAGAGAGGGACCGGAAGGACAACAGACCGGAAACTAGGGACAGGACAGAGAAGGAGTGCCCTCTGGCTGCAGAGGGTGTGACACCAATTGCTTTATCCAGTACAACATCATAGGAAAGCCAGAGCTCAACCTGACAAACAATGGACGCGAGTGGAGGTACATCCAGGGTGGACGTCAGTCCATCACAGGGTAGATACACAGACACAAACACAGACGCACAGACTCAAATCAGGGCCAGTTTTGAAAGATTCCCATTCATCTGCCATTTTGTCTTTGGACTGAGCGAGAAAACCAGAGCACCTGAAGGAAATCCATATGAACATGAGAAGAACATACAAACTGCACAGAGATAGTACCCCAGGAATTTGAAACAGGGCCTCAGGGTGGTGAGGCAGCAAAGCTAACTACTGCACAACGTGCTGCTTCAATAGTGCATTTTTGGCCAACAAATGTCTTTTTTGATAATGGATTTTGGATCTTGGATTTCATTCTGTTTACTGCTCCTGGAAATTCTTTAAAAAATGACATGTTGGACATACGTGTTCAGGTTGAGCAAAATCTGGTTGCACACAACTTGAGTACTAGATGCACAGAAAATATTGTAGTACATACAATGGTGTAAAATAACATTGGCACAATCTGAAACGCTACCATGAAAAGAAAAAAATAATGGAAATCCTTCCATTTATAACTCTGTTCTGTGCTAATTTATGTAAAACAAAATGAAGAAAGGGAATTCTGTGGAGAATCCAAAAATGAAAATTATTGTTTTAATTTGTTTCATAGCTTCCAGCACAAATATCTGAAAAAAAATATAATTATGCAAGAAAAACTGAGACAAGTGCTAACATACTCACACCGATGTATAGTAATTCAAGCACATTGTATCAATTAACAATGAAAGCACTCGAAATACGGCAATAGCTTGTTCACATTGTTTAATGGAATTGAAGTAATCACTAGGACCAGGAGAATGTAACAAATAATTTGAAAGAACAGCTGACAATATTGTCACCTTGCTCTCTAAAAAGCAGTCTTACTACATTTCCATATTATGTGTGCCTGAGGGTCACACATTCTGAATCATTTTTTACTTGTTTTTGTAAAAGAACAAAGATATTTCTCTTTAAATGAGTTCAGATGTCTTTCCAAAGCACCATACATTGTCAATTAGAGCTTGGTAACCATGAGTTAAAGTTCTTTTGCAAAAACTGAAACAGAATGTTGTCCCATGAAAGTCTCTGACTTTGTTGTAAGTCGTGGCTGGAGCTTATTGTGGAAAATTTTAAACTGTTCCTGTGGACTGGGATGGGGTCTTTTTCAGTGAATTAGCATTGAAGCCCAGTTTTTATTGGAGCTGGAAGTAAACTCACAACACAACAGGCATTAATCAGAAACACACAAACTTGTATCTAAGAACAAATCCACAATAAAGCCTAAGGAATTGACTTAACTGACCATCTTTCTAAACCCATGTTATGCTCAAAGTGGACAGGTACAACTTTTCTTCTAATTCTGCTGCACCAGTTAGCCTGAAACTCCCTGGCCTGAGTAATAGGGACTAACTCTTTTCAGCGGGTCAAAACGCAGTTCAGCCCTTTTATCACTGGCAGTTGTCTTTGTTGAAATGCGTGAACACTCTTGACTTATATGTGTGGTGCCCTTTTGTCGCTTAAGCCGAAAGAAAACAAAGCCCTACCCAGATGTAACAGAAGCTTTTCTTTAATAACCGAAGCATTAAAAAAAAAACCTCTTAAAAGGCACAAAGCGTTATCTTTACCTCAGCACGGGTGTTGGCTGCAGTTGTGTTGCCTGTTGTTGTTTTAACTGCGTCCAGGGTGTTCCCCATAGTTGTTCAGCGTTTCACAGGTGGTTAATTGGGTAGTTAATGGGGCTACAGTACTTATCCCAATACACCTCTTCCTGATGCAACAAGGAGGGAAGAGCCTCTTTTATGTGGCGAGTTTTTCTAGTCACACCTGTTTAGAACTCTAGGCCCCACAGAGCTAAACAGACATTCTTGCGTGGTGGAGTACAAATTTTGCTTAACATATTTATAGAATGCAAATTTGATGAGCACCCTTCAGAAGACAATTGAGAGAGAAGAGTTACTGAAAGCTAACCTGACATTTAATCAACATTACCAGAGGCAACCGCTGTTTGTATCAACATACAAACGAAAATTGACAAAATCATGTCTCAAAACGTGACCTAGGGACAAAACGAAAGTTGCTCATCATGGATTTGTTCAAGATGTTTTAGTGCAGAGTTTCTCAAGCCTATCTTCTGTTTTTTATTTCTAAAGAGCTCTTAATTAGCAAGGGTTATCACAACTGTAACAGAATTGGTTAACTGTGTGTGGAACAGTACACATAAAGGGTTTTTAGTGTAACCAAGAAGATGATAGAGTTTAATGCTGAGTTAATAAAACAGATTTTTTAAAAGTTACTTAAAAAAACAATGGTTCAATGGATCCATTAGGGTTAGCTTCAGTAAATTAGATATTCTGGGAAAAACTAGCCTATCTAAACCAAAATTGACAATCAGTAAAAGGAAAAACATAGCATACAGTATTTCAAACTGACCTTCTTTATCTTCTTGTGATAGAAGTGCTGAACAATATAGCTGGCAAATCATTTAAATCAAATCAGATTAAGTTTCTTTAGCCATTAAATACTGTCAACTATACAGTTACCTGCCCAGATAAAAAAAAAAAAAC